AATTGCACCTCCTGGTAAAGGTAATCCAGCATCTCTTAAAAATAAGAGAGTTGCAAAAGTTAAACCGCCACCCACACAGTAAAAAATATGAAAAATAATCTTGATTTTGATACAAAGAATTCAAATAATGCCAACTATGGAAAATGATTTCTACATACTAATTACCAAAATAATTATTTGACGTTTGAGTGATGCCAAAGGAAAACCGGACTTGGGCTTTCAAGTTTATTATTTAGTGTTTACTAGATTCAGCCCTGACGGCGACACGTATAACACGTACGTACCTATGTATCTTATATGTCCCTGATCAGGCCTGAGTCTAGTAAATAACAAATAATAAACTTGAAAGCTCGATGTCTGGTTTTTCCTTGGCATTACTCGTTTATTAAGAGGAGTAATTTAGACAGCTATATATATACCATACAAATTCTCGATTCTAGTTTCGCAAGAAAATATGAACATTAGCTAATATGAATAATTTAGAAGTTGAATAAAATACTACGTATATACAAAAACAGTAAATTAAAATGATATAAAATGCTACAAAATAAAGAAAAAAAAATTGCATTTGAGAAAAACACATGCTTATAATTTGTGTTGTATTTTAAATGAGATACTGTAAGACATGTAAGACATGTAGCTTGAGTTTAAGAACGTAGAGATTGGCTATAATTCAATAATTCATATTACAACTCACTCTCGTTATAGTGAACTCTCGATATAGTAAAGATTCGATATAGTGAAAATTCGATATAGTGAAAATTCGATATAGTGAAGATTCGATATAGTGAAGATTCGATCTAGTGAAGATTCGATATAGTGAAGAATTTTGAATTCCGGAATTATTAAACTTTAACTCGATATAGTGAAGTACATATAGTATTCTCCCGATATAAGCCATAATGAAGATTTATTTTTTCAACCCGACGACTTCACTATTACGAGAGTGAGTTGTATATGTAATTTTGAATCGAAACATATTCACCTCAAATGATCTCATCTACGGTAATTCAAAGAGCAAAGTTTAAAGATCTGCTGGGCAAATGACTAAAAGAGACACCATCAAGCTGTTATGGTAATTCATGTACGATCGTTACAGAAAACTAATACCCAGTCCGATGAACTTCTGGCGTTGCTTTCCTGAAATAAACACAGAGTTATTTATTTGAAACACGAATCCTAATATGTAATTATATACCATCATTAAATATTTAAGACTCTTTTCCTAGTCATACAAACAAACAAATCAGCAAACAAATGTCTTTCTCTTCATTAGTTACTGTCATTCCTACAACTGTATTGAAACATTATATTGAAGGTCCACCTATAAAATCTTGGGATTTAAAATTTCATTTAGCTGTGTCATTGTTTAAAAGTGACGGTCGTTTATGGAAATTACCAATTGAGCAAGCTCAAAAAGAACTTTTCGATTCCACTAAGATCAAGGCTCCTTTTAATATAGTTATAAAAGATGTTATATTAGATGAGCGATACAGACGAAAGAGTATAATACATTTAGAAAAAGTTTTAAAACAATATGAAGATGTATTAGACGATAAATGGAAAGAACCAAGTGATGAGCTGCATGGGGAATGGGTATATGTTAATGAAGATAAAAAAAATAATGAAACTGATAAAGTAGTTCTTTATATGCATGGTGGTGGATATTTAGGATATGTCGAATGTAGTAGAATTTTTACTTTTAAATTTGCGGAATATGCTAAAGCTCGAGTTTTTGGTAAGTTGATCAAATTAATAATACCTATAAATATCAATATAGCAATTCTTACTTAATACTATTATTAAATTAGCGATTGATTATCGTCTTTCGCCACAAAATCAATTTCCTGCGTCTCTTTGTGATTCAGTTGCTGCATATCTTTATCTTATAAATCCTGGGCCAGATGCAGGATTTGGACCAATAAACCCTAAAAGAATTGTATTTGCAGGTGAAAGTGTGGGTGGCGGTTTAACTTTTGCAACTCTCTTATTTTTAAGAGATGCTGGATTACCTTTACCAGGAGGTGCAATT